GTCCTTCAAGGGCCCCTTTACTGTGCCTTTTCCTTATTCTAAGGCAAACAGAAAATTCTGAATGGAACACTTTTTTACCCATTGTTAGCCAAATCCATCAAGTCATCCACCCACAAGTACTTTTCTCCTCTCAGTGTTACCTTCTCCCTCTTCCATCAGGTCATCTTTCTTTTCCTCTTTCTCTACCTTAGCAGCAACTTCAGCCTTTTCTTTCATGTCATTAGGTGGCTCTTTGCCCTCTGTGGGCACAGGTTCCTCTGAAGACTCTGTCTCTTTAGATTCACCTGGTTTCTCTTCTGTAACTGTCTCTACTGGCTCTTGTTTCTCTTCTGCCTTCTGTTCAGCCACCTCTGCATCCCCTTCTGCAGCTTCTTTCTGTTCCACAGCAGCTGCTTCCTCTGCTTCTGCCTTCTCTTCTACAGCTGTCTGTGCCTGCCCTTCTACAGCCTCTCCCTTCTCCACAGCTGGCTCTTTTCCTGTTGCTTCTGCTGACTGCTCTCCCATCTCTCCCTTCTCTTCCACAGCCACTTCTCCCGCTTCAGCCTCTTCTCCAGCTGCCTTTGCCTTCTTGTCTGACACTTCTGTCATTCTCTCCTTCTCCTCAGTTGCCTTCTCTGTCTTGTCCTCAGGCACAGTCTTCTGCTCTTTTTCTACCTCCTTCTCTTCCACAGCTGCCTCCTCTTTCACAGGCACCTGCTTCTGCTCTTCTGAAGAGCAGAAGCTCTTCTGCTTCTTCTGTTCTTCTGAAGTTGTTTCTTCTTTTCCCACAGAAATCTCAGTCTTCTCTTCAACCTCTTTGGGCTTTGCATCCTTGTCAGCAGCTGCTTCTTTGGGTTGTTCTTCTGTAATCTCTTTCATTTTAGCATCCTCTTCTTTGATTTCCTTCTCAGATAGTACTGTAGACTCCTCTGTGGACTTTTTGGCCTCTTCCCCCATGGCGTTATAAACCTGTTCTCTCAACTCCTCCCTTGCTTCTTCTACATGATTGAGGAAGCATAAACATTTCTTCGAGTTTAGTGATAAAGACATTAACGGGCACTGACAACACCACCCTCAAGACCCTCAAGTGTGTTGGTTTGTTACCAAGTTGGATGACTTTCCTAAAAGCTTCATTTTCCAAGTACAAGGAATTAGCAGACAACCAACATAGCCACTTGATCTAAACAAGTCCCTTCCCCTTCCCCAGACTGCAGCATTGCAAGCGGCCGCTCAAGCAGTGTGCGGTTGTGCAGCGATTTTAGTCACAGCTAAGCAAGAGGTGCCAGCACTTTAACAGTCTGGATGGACAGGAATTCCTGCATCCTCTCCAGCTGAGGGGAGTATAAAATAGCCACTGCTCTTGGGACTTTGTACAGACTCTGACCTGTGGGACTACACACACTGTACTGCTACAAGGTTACAAAGCAGTTGGAGTCAGCGGTGAAGCTTAAGAAAGCAAGTTTGAATGCAGTGTTTCAGGACAGACACCTGGTGACCCTTTACACATGCTTTCAGTGACCAGCCCCTTGAAGATGTTTTACAGGTTTTGCTCATCTTTAAGCAAGACTAAAAAAAACCAAACAGAAACAGAGTCCATTCAGACTGCCAAGAGTTTCAATAGAATGATTCAGGCTACCTAAGATACCAGTGGACTAAACTTGGATCATTCCAACAAGAAAACACAGCCTGGTGCCTCCATGGCAGGGTAGGCAGCTTTACATACCATCAGCAGCTGGCAATGCAGAGTCATCTTCTGCCTTTTCTCCTTCCTCTTCCACCTGTACCCCTTCTAAGGCATTTCCCAGCACACCATTTTCCATTCTAAAGGGAATAGGAGTTTGTTATCCCTTGAATCTTTTAATACCGTAATTTGAACTGCACAAGCTTCAATGCCACAGCCCATCACACCCAGGGCAATTCTGTCCAGAAAGGAGTGAAATCCTGTTACACCAGACACACTCTTCACCAAATGACAAACTGTCACCGTACCTTGCCAACTCCAGGAGAGATTTTCCATAATAAAAAAAAGCTTCTGCACACTCATCCGCTGTCTCACCATATTTTTTACCCCTACAAAAATAATAAAGAATTATTTGCCTGTGCCTGCTTTAGATTTGGATATGTGAAATTGAACATTAACTATTCCTAGAGAAAAGGATCACTTTCTTGGCTCATTTCCCATTGCTTTAAACAAATATTGAATGCTTCTCTCAGCTAGATATGGCTCTCCAACGTCCAGATGAGGAAATTAATCTGTAACTCAAAAAGTACTATTCACAGAGACTGACCAAGACTAGTGAACAAGTTACTAGAGAAGACACCTGCATAACAAACTATCAAATCCCTTTCCCTCCTTAGGCAACTCTATTGGTAATGCCTATCACAAAAGCCACCTAAACTGCACACCAGCTACAGCACTGTCCAACTCTTGGATGACTTTAAATAGTTTGCCCCCTCCTCAGTTGCATTCTAAATTATAAACATGTTAGGTAAAAATCCCAATCTTTCTTGCATAACCCACATCAGAAGAGACAAGCTAAAGCCCAAGCCCAGCAAAAACACACAGAACATTCTACTACTCACAGTAAGCTTGCAGCTTCCTGGAATGCATTCACAGCAGCTGGAATATTTCCCATTACCAAGTGTTTCTGTCCCAAACCCAATAGTTTCTTTGATTCTCCGTCCACATCCATACTGTAGGAAGAAGAAACAAATGAAATACAATTTTTTGCTAGTTTTCAAAGTAATTTCAGCTTTCAAAACCTAGTCTGTTTAATGGAAAAGAGAGCGGCATACATTAGAGTGTTTGGAACTATCAGGGTGGGTGGGATTTGTTTGGTTTTGTTTGTGTAAATCTGAAACAACTGATAGCTTCAACACCAAGGGAAGATAGGCAATTTCATCCAATCACTGCAATTATCACAATCTGCTGTGAAAAAGGCTGCTGAAAAACATACTTTAGAAGCTGCACACCAACACACCACAGAGCACCACTGATTCATTTGCCAATGCTGAATCAAGAAAAATAAACTCAAGTTAAAACTTCTCATATCACAGCATGGTGCATCTGAGAAGAATGACAGATGCAAGTGTCAGCTTCAATTGAGTGTATCTCACACAGCTTCATTTCCACAAGGTTCAGCCCAGTATCTCATACTGGGATGAGAAGCTGCCCATAGGAATACCATCTATCACATGCCAGCGGCATACTTGTGCCTCTCCAGCATTAATCAAAGACCCAAAAACTTCAAGAACAGCTAGTATTTTTGTATGTATCAGTCCCTGAAAGGGCCTTGCTATAAAAGATTTGTGCAAACCACTGGTGAGCACAGGTTTTCAGCACCTACAGCATGCATGGGAGTTAAGACTCCAAGTCTAAGAATCAATCTGAAGGGTGACCTTTGTGTTCCACTCAGTAACTCCAGGATTTTGTGTTATTTGGTAATTGACAGTTCCAACTCCCATCTCACCTGTCTGTCTTGTCTGTGGATGTGGAAGGAGCTGCCAGTTCCTCTTCCATCCTGCAAACAGAAAATCGAATGTTTTTTTAATTCACGTTTACATCCAGCCACTCATTTCCCGGCACGAGCTGAGCTCTCGGGGATGCAAAATCAGCACTAGGAGTCTGGATTAGAGGTGCTCATCCACCTCGAGCGGGCTCAAGCTCCGCAGTTCGGTGTTTATTGTCGGAAGGAAGGCTACGAGGGGCTGTCAGGCCCTGCCCGGCCGGTCCCGCGCAGACAATGGGGCCTTTCCCGCCTTCCGCCGGCCCCGCCCCCCGCCCTTGGCGCCAAACCCCGGCGGCGGCTCCTCACGGGCCGTCGGTCACGTGACACCCACCCCCTTCCCCCAGCCCGCCCCGCGGCTTCGGCTGCCCCCAACAAAGATGGCGGCGGCCGCGCAGCGGTCACGTGGTGGCTCCGAGCGAGCCGCGCGGGCCCAGCTGGCGCCGGAGAAGCGGGGCGGCGGCACGTACCACCACCGGCGGGGGGGACGGCGGAGGCAGGTACCACAAACGGCGAGGGAGGGACGGGGAAGGCAGGTCCCACAAACGGCGAGGAGGAAATGGAGGGGAGGGGGGGTGTGCAGCTTCGCCAGCCCGACCAGCACCCCCAGCCCTACCCCTAAGGAAATCCGGCTCCTCTTACCCCCCCATCCCCTCCGGTACCCTGCGGCCCGAAGGCGCCCCCCCTTCTCCCCTGATACCCCCCGTCCCCGACTCGCACACACCGTAACCGGGGCCAACCCGCGCGGCCCTACCTAGTCTGGGAGGCCGGCGCGGGCTCAACGCAGGGGGGAGCGGCGGTGGCCGAGGATTGCATAGAAGCTGCTGGAGAGAGGGGCGGCGGCGGCAGAGTGCAGCCCCCTGCCCCTCCGGCTGGCTATATACCCCCGAGGACACGCCCCGGCTCGCCTGGCGGCGCGCGCGCGCCGCAGGGGGACTACCGCTCCCGGCACGCTGCGCGCCCGCCCCGCCGCGGGACGCCGGGGGCGCTGCCGCGCGGGGCGCACTGGGAAGTGTAGTGCCGGCGAGGGAGGCGGGGCCCCGCGGGGCATGCCGGGAGGTGCAGTCCCGCTCCCTCAGCCCGGCTGTGGGAGCTCCTCAGCCCCAGCCTGGGGGCCCGGGAGGGTGCAGCGCCCCGGCCCGGGCTCTGCACCCGCTCTCGGCCTCTTCCAGGCGAGCAGGCCCTGGGCTTCGGCCCAGCTCGCGCAGATGCTCGGCTCTCCCCTGGCAAATGAACACACGAGCAGGCAGAACTGACATGGCCGCTGCCCTGTCACAGCACAGCCTAGCACCGAGACCTCCAAGCTCTGCTATTTCAAGGTAAAAGTTCTCCAGCTTCAACCCCGCTATGTCCCTTCCTGCAGGAACAGAGCTGGGAAGTGTGGGGGTCACACAGCTACAGCACTAATGTACTTTTCTTGGGAATTCTCCCAGCCCACTTAGGTACTCTTGCTCAGAGAAATAACTAGAGAAAGTTAATTGGGGCCTTGAGAAAAGAGCAGGGGTCAAAGTCATACAATGAGTACAGAATTTATTTAAACAAGCAAACATGCAAGTGAAACAAGCAAGAAAAGCCACTGTCCTTGGCAGGGTGACTGCAGTCTCCAGAGTGCCTTGAAAGTACAATTGCTTGCCTAATGATTGCAACAAGAACCATATTCAAAGTGTTTGATTAGAACAATTTAAAAAATGAACAGGAATTTTAAATTTCCTTTGGACATTTTCTCCTGTCTAGTAAAGAATCCTAAATGAGGTGCAATGGCTTCCTCCACTGAGGCAAATTCATCAGGAATTAGGAAACATCTTATGAAGGAACAGAAGTTCCTGAAATTTTGCCTGTGGTTTACAAGGAGTGATAACCTATTGCAAATGGGGTTATTCAAATTAAAGTGTCCAATTCTTAAACTTTTGAACTATTTGATACAAAAGACTTTTTCTAATTGTTTCTACTACTATGGGGAAAAAATCCTATTTAACAGGTAGAGAGGACCAAAATAAAGTGTTGATGTTTCTAAGGCCACAGAAAGTGTCACCACCAGAGCACAGGTAGGTACTAACAACACCTTGTGCCCTTTGTGCTCAGATGACCAGCCAATTCATTAGAAGACTGAAACAAAAGAAAACTGTGCTTACAGCTGGAGTTCCAGTCGAAGGGTGCATCAGCACTCAGCAAACTGGACCCTGCCAGGGGAACACAGAGACATGGCAAGTAGGAAAACAGGCACAAAAGGCAAATGACTCATCCCAAGTTACCAGCAGGTCAGTGGTACAGCAGGAGACAGGAGCAGCTCTCTTAAGCATCAACCAAAAACATTTTTTGGCAGCAGCCAAAAATGCAACATTAAAACACATACACATAACATACACATAACATTGAGAGCTCTGAAGGGTCTTTGGTCTTACGGTACAATTAGGAACTAATTTTGTGACCTTCCATAACTCAAAATGGACACTGGAAACACTGGACAGCTTCACAGGATGTTTTTCTGCAAGATTTGCTAAAAAAGTTCTTGTGGCTTTTGTGATAGGATCAGAGCTGCTGTCAGAGCTGAAATCCAGCACTGTGACAAGTAAGAGAGAGGATTGCCCTGAAGGCCTGCTCCAGGGTCTGCTTTTATTCTGCTCAAATCTACAGCCAAATTAAAAGAAAGAAAATTGAGAACTCTAGGTCCCAAAAGTACTATGAAGTGGATAAAAGCACTGGGCATGACTGATTACTTGGCTTTTAATAAATGGTTTATGGACATAGTGCAACTGTAGCACATGTCACTTTATTCCCTGTGTAAAAAATTATTAATAAAGATATCAAAGTTGATGGCTGAGAAATTCTTTGGCCTTAAAAAACTTTCATGCCTTCATCCTTCTTATTTTTTTCCCTTATCCTGGTAGTAACTGAAGTTTTCAAAACCGTTTCACAGTAGTGACCAAAGTAGTTACCCAAAGTTATATCCTAGTCTGACAATGATGCATTTGGAACTTGACTTAGACTCCATCGCTCTTTATCAAATCTTCAAAACATCTGATGCCTCCAGGAGCCAGCTTGCAGTCGTAATAAATCCACAAACTTTGGCACGGAAGCTACAGGATCTCCAGGCAGGAGGTCGATTAGAAGTAATACATTGTAGGAAAACCTACTTGGGAAGGAAGGTTTCAATTTGGACAGTGCTTTTGACAAATCGTGGCAACAATTACATTGTGGAAGGGCACGCCCAGGAACATTACTTTAACACCTTATTTTCCAATGGTTAATAGGGGTCATTGAAGGGGTAGTGAGGGTGTCCAGCATCTCTGGCTACTAGCTTTCCATCCACCTGTGAAATAAACAAGACAGATTCAAGTTAGAAAGATAAAATCCATTCTTACTCGCGGTTTTTAGTTCTGCATGATTTAGATTTCTAAACCTTTGTATCCCAAAAACCTGGGAGTACATTTTTCAGTTTAAACAAGAGCCCTTCCCTCTACTCCCAACTCCTCTTAGCCTTTCTTGAAAGAAAAGACAGACTTCTGTAACCTTGAGTAAGTCTCTCAAGCTGCAGAGACTCAAATTAAACTAAGGATAGTTAAAAGCCTTGTGCCTTGTAGCTATTACTGAGTAAGTGCTGTAACATGCACACTTTGAAACACTTGGAGCCTTTGTCCATGTTTCCATGATAAGAGAATTGCTGGGCTGCCAATTTTAGAGATAGATGAAACACACAGAGGAGTGTTCAGGGTCATATACTGAGGCATTAATAGTGTCACTAAACTCCTTTTAGGAACATTTCCACAGAAGACTAGCTTCTCCAACTGTAAAATGGGAGCACTGAAACCAATATTCACAGATAACCAGAGGCTCGGGCTGGCCCAAAACCAGACATGGCCATACAGAAGTCTCAGTTCTTACATCTTACATCCCACCTCAAAGCATTCAGAGGGACAACTTGCATTTCTGTTGCACCAAGTCTACTGCAACACCCCCAACGTCCCTGTAGCTGAGGTAAACCCTCATCTGTAATATTTGGGGAAGTCTGGGTGCAGCACTGGCCCAGAGCACACACCTCCCCACGTGTAAGGCAAGCATCTTCCAGCCAAAACTTAAGTTAAACAACTAATGCCTCAATAAAAGTTATATTAGAGAAATCTTTGATTTTTTTATGTATAAAAGTGATGGTAGCTAGCACTCAAAATGTCATGGGCACAGAGGGAATCACAGGGACTTCCAAACCAAGTATCCACTAGCAAGTGCCCCATTAGCTTTGAATATAAAACCTGCATTTCAAAGCAACTGGAATTCCTGCAATGAGCTGTTTAAATGAAATGAGTCACCTGGGGGCATTGCAGAGCGCAAAATAATGTTACAGTGTAATATTTGATTAATGCTTCAATTAAAATAGACCTGAAATGAAGCTGTCAGCTGAAGGCAATCCTCAAAACAGAAGTGTCACAGTAGCTTCAGGTTTCCTCCAGTTCTCTTGAAAGCCAACAGCTTCCTCATGTTCCTAGATATTCTCCACTTTCTCCCCCCAGTTCTGTCCCCCTGCATATTTGTCCACACAGAACAGGCAAGCATTCTTATTCACAGCAGGCCAAGACAGCAGCTGCCAGAAGCAATGTTTCACATCACTGATTCCAGTCTACTCCAGGAATTTGAGAGAAGGGGAGGGATAACATCAGCAATGAACACACCTGCAGGTCAGCAGTAGCTAACTCTTAAAAAGACATCATGATGTGCTCACTACATTACTCCTCTCCTGGCCTGACAGTCATTTAAGTTTCACTTAAGTATATTCCTTGGCCAATGATATGTTTACTAAAGTTTGGATTTCAGATTGATGCAGGGTAACTTCCAAACTCTATCCAGATAATGAACAGTTAGAAGTATAGAGCAACTTTAATTGTCTGCATGCAATGTAATAGCCTCCCCTCAGGCTCCCCAGAGGAAAAGAGTGCCACAATTTTAAGAACTTGTGGCTATAGGTCAATGAAGTAAAGCCAAGAACTGCCTCATCAGTTATGATAGGAGCTCTCATGTCACTGCCATATCACACACTTTTTTAAGTCAGATTCTTAGTGGATAGGCATAAAAGGTTAGACAGGAATTTTAATTCACAGTTGATGAAAATTCTTTCCAATAAGCCCAGAAGGGATGGGCAGGAGACAAAAGGTTCCATTAGGATCTTACAGCTACAGAGCTGTGTTTTAGCTCTACTCATCTTGCTTCTTCCTGTCTTGTTATCTGACAATATGGCAATATCTTTGAAGCCCAGCTGCATCACATTCACCCTTTCTCAAGCTGGATGGGCTGCCACTTTGAACTGTATTTCATCTCTCCTTTGTGAGTCCCTGTGATCTGATCAGATCTCCCAGGTAACAAAAAGCACATGAATTATCCCTGGCTCATTCAAGCCAGGCTACATTTTAATGTATTTTGCAGTTTCATTAACAAAACAACTTTGCAGCATGAGTAGCAAAACACTTGGAAGAAACATATTGTCAGCTGCAGGTGTGCTTGTCACTACCCCATTCACACAGATCAGCTAAGCTGTTGTTTGGTATACGGACTCCTGATCCATAAAAGCAGAGAATTCTGGCTGCAGGGATGTGGGGGTTTATATCTATGCACACTTATACACACACAGTTAAAAGGGTGGCCTTGAGGCTCATGTAAGCATGACAAACAGTGAAAGCTGTTACACATATCTACCCTTGATATGAGACAGTCATTCCCCACACATTCACAGCTTCTCTTTTCTAACTTGGGCTGGTCACTGATATACTCTCAAGTATTCAAAAAACTCACAATGATAAATACTGGAGAAAAGCTTTCCCCAAGGAATTCCTATAGCCAGCAGCCACTACTGAAGGATAATTTACAAAGCACTGAAGAGGCCAGGCTATGCTTCACAGCTCCCAAATTTGCTGAGGTTTCCTGTATCTGTACAGTGTACAGTGTATGGCAGAGAAGGGATGGGATAAATCACTTCAGATTCATTATATCATAATTGATAAATCAATTCAGATTCCTGGTCAGTGATGCACCAGGGAATGGCAACAGCTTCCTGTTGTAAAGTCGGAAGCAGGACAAGAAGAAATGAGAAACACTATAAAGTCAGGAGATAACAAGGCATTGACTGTCTTCTTTGCAATGAGGGAAAAGGAACAAGTTTAGGTCCTTTAATGTAATAAAAGAAAGACCAAGAGGACAACACTTACAAGGTAGTGGCTTCTCTAAAAACAAACTGGCATCTGCTAGCGAAAGATTTGTGTGACACAGTAAGTTAATCATGCTAAAAGATGCTGCAGCTAATGGATTTGGGAAGAAGAACAGAACAACCTAATCCAAACTCCTTACACTGGAAGAAGGTCATTACAACAGATTCTGAAAAGGGGGACATGCAGCAGAGGGGAGGGGACAAATTCCCTGATGTGACTTCCACAATGGTGTGGAGAAGCAGCAGCACCCTGAGTCTTCACTGATCTCAGAGGTTTATGGTACAAAGTGGACAGCTGGCACAAGGAGTACTTCTGGAGGAATGCCATGGAGCTTAACCTGCTTGGGCTTGAGAAGAATAAATCAGCAAGAATTTGGCAAGATTTGAAGATGGGACTCTGTTTTAAAGACCCATGGGAGTCAGTAATGAGAACTCGAGACAGACACCCATGTCCAAAACAGAAGACAAAAGTTTTCAACAAGCTGCCTTTTCTGTACCCAGCTTTTGAAAAATTCATCTTAGATACCCTAAGAAGATGCAGTGTTCTTATGAATAAGTAGTTCTGATGGGAACATTAAAGAAATAAAACTAAAAATCCCAAGTGGTAGTAGCCATATGCACATAATGAAAACTATTAGAAACTCAAGAAATTTACCGTAATCATTGGCACAATATAACGCCAGTTTTTATTCAGGCTTCCAATGTGGCTCATCTCCTCTTCTGTAAGGCTGAAGTCAAACACCTAAGAACAAAAGCCAGAGGCTTTACTCAATAACCATAGGTTGCCATCAGTTTGTTTTCTGCTAATAAATATGAAATTGCAGTTAAACTCATAACAAACACCAAAGCAAAGGCTTAAAGTCTGAGCTGTTCACAAATCTGCCAGCTCTAAGCTTACTTTGGTATTGCATAGTGCTCTGCCACTAATATAGAAAGTCATGGGACTGTTTTTCACAGTAAGTACTGCCTATTCAATAAATATTCCGTTTCCGTGTAGATTAAAACCTTGAGCAACTGCAGAATTTATGGGAATTTCTTGAGATTTCTAGCAGCACACTACATGCCAGAATTCAGATTAATGGGGGTAACAGTTACAGAAATAACTCCTTACATAAAACCAAGTTTTTTAGGGAAAATGTTCTAAGGAATTGGTTCAGAAACATCCCTCAATATTACTTAAAGTCTGGGTTTTCAAATAATTTCTAAAGTCTCTACTTCTGTGCAGAAGTGAACCGGATGTACTCCTCCAGCATCATTAGAATTGCAGTTTGCTGGAGAAGTAGCCACCAGCCCTCACTTGCAGGATAGAGCAACTATTACTCATAAACAAGAATCACTGAGCACAATTAGAAGACACCCTATCTAAATAAATTTGTGTCTCAAAAAAATTTAAGTACATATTTTTCATCTAGACCTCTATGAAGTACATTCTTTACCTTGTGATAACAAGACTCTGCATGTGCACATTGCACACACTCACACACCAAACTGCTTAAAACTTGTCCTTTGTTTTCAAAAAGTATCTTTACCCTCCCTCCCCAGCGTGTGCATATGTTGATGAACGAGTAAGAACCAAGTGCCTCAGCTTGCTGCTCTGCATGCTGTAGGACAGTATAGCAATTACTCATGTGAAAAGGGCATTTCTGAAACTCCTCCATTTCAGCTTACCTGGAGATTCTGCTGAATGCGGGCAGGAGTGACACTCTTGGGAATGACAACCACTTTACGCTGCACTTGCCATCTGCAAGAGGAGGTGAGAGACTTTGTCTGTGCATGCAGTTCAAGAACAATAAGCATTTATTTTGGCTGAGTAATAATCTGTGGCAGCAGAGATGCCACTTCTGTGAAATAAAAATCTCCACAGGAGTCACACAGCCCTGTATTGTATTAAGACCTGGTGTGTCCAAGCTCAAGCAAAACAGTAACAACTGAATTAATCAGAGAGGGGAAGATATTCATGCCTTGGAACAAGCACCCAGGTTTCAAGTGTTTTAAGCTAAAAACCCAGGAAACAGTCAGAAAAACATACTTAGGCATTTCAATCAAGTTCTAACCTGACAACTACTCAGAAACTAGATAAAAACCCAGATCCCTGAAGTGCCTGTCTAGTGGCTTGAGCACAAAGTCTTGAACATTTTCAAGACAACATATTCAGCTCTCTGAGTAACCTGCTGCTGCCCAAGACTGTGGTAGTGACACTGATGGGTACAAAGCCAGTCAAGAAAAATGAGGATAGAAATCAAATTTTAGTTTACAAGGTGTTGATCACATTCTGGGTATCACTCAGTCTCCTTGTTTCCTAATATCCAGTACCTGGCCATGTAAAAACAAAACAGCAAATAGTTCTTCAGTGCAAAGGAGGCAAGTCTTTTCCTCAGTCCCTCTTCCTGGGAGCCCACTTGAGTCTAGCAGCAAGCACTAGAGGTTTCAAGGAACTGGCCACATGCAAATTCAGTGGGCAGCACTCAGATGTGGGTACACTGCTGCCTTACTTGTCCTACTGCTATTTCCCAGCAGAAAAGGTACTGTCCCAGATATGGCAACATTCCTTGTGAACTATCTCAGACATGGATCCAGGCCCTGAATGGAACCCTCTGATCTAGTCTACCTGCCCTAAGGCAGGACCAATCTTACAAGCTTTGTAAAACAAGCACTAAGTGGGGTTTGCTTTTGGCACTCCTTGTGATTTTAACCCCTCCCTGACACACTTTAAGTGGATTCCTTCTAGCTTGTATGTTTTGCTTGATTGAAGGCTGGGTCCCAAACACTACCTCTCACAATTCTGTACCTGAGGATGATCTGTGCAGGTGACTTGCTGTATTTTTCTGCAATTTTTTTGACCCCAGGTTCCTCTAGCAGCACAGGCTCATCTGGGTGTTTCCACATGCGATCTGGAGAGCCAAGGGGACTGTAGGCAGTGACCACCAGTCCTCGTTTCTGGCAGTGAGCAATCAGCTCATTTTGAGCTAGGTAAGGATGGCATTCCACCTATTAAAATGACCCATAATGAATGGCTACAAGAACAGGTATCAACACACAATGAAACAAACAGGAAGTCAAGCACAAAAGAACCAAACATATCACAGGAGTTCATTCCAGATTCCAGAAAACCTTATGAGGATAAGGTTTAAGTTAACCTTAGTAACTCAAGTCACTACCAGGAGAAAGTGTCTGGTAGGCTAAGCTTATAGGAAACAAAGAAGAGATCACCTAAGTTTGATGCTGGACTTTCCCTTGGTACCAAACAGATCATCCAACAAGCAAGGAACTTCTATGCAGTAGGGACTCAAATTACTCCCTCATAGTCTTTCCTTTTTACAGACTAATTGTTCATCACATGGAACTCTTCCACGAACCTGTTCATCTGAGCAAGTAGAATACCCACAGGAACATGGATGTAGGCCTCCTTTCTAATCTGCCTAGAAAGACAGCCTCTGTGTGCCTGCTCCTGCAGAGCTGGCTATATTCTTTACTGCAAATAAGAACCTGCACCTCTTGTGCTAAACACATGGCATTGGTTTGCAAATTCTTCACTCTTATGGACAAACAGGAAAGGTATTTGTCTCTATCCACGTTACCTGGAGCACAGCTGGCTTCACAGTAGCCACACTTAGTACATCATCAATCTGACGACTGTTGAAGTTTGACAGCCCAATGGCTTTCACAAGACCTTTTCCCACCAGTTTCTCCATAGCCTTCCAGGTATCCTTGTAATCAATGTAGTCGTAACGCATCGTGTTATCGGGATTCTTTGGGAAGAGATTGTCCCCTCGTCTACAGCATCAAAGGTAAAGTGTAAGTACACACACCAAATTATTCATGTTAGTTCTTCACGTAAAAAAACCTTCCTCAAAGTAGTCTTAAAAGTTTCTACATGGTCTGAAGGGCAGAGTACGAACTGAATGAATCTGTCTGTTCAATTCCCTTACATGACTTAACCTATAAGCAGTTATTACACAAGATAGTCTTTCCTAGGTAAAACTGTAACACAGCACTTGGAAGTACTTGCCTACACAGCAGTGACTACACAGAGCTGATAAACCAATGCACACACAGCAGCAGCTCTTTGCACACTTTGATCCCAATAAAACAGCTGATTTAGGGAGCAGCTACTCAAAGAGCGGCTTGGAGCTGCTACCAAAGGGATCTGGGCTTGAGAGCTATCTAGGAGAAAATGTATTCAAAGAACACTGGCCTTCCCACTCCCTCTGGATTCTGTAGCTGTGTCACTGCTCAATACAAGCACAGATTCTTCCAGAAGTCTTAACACGTACATGTTGCTTACAGGTTGTGTGTGTTTTCTTCCAGTTAGTCATACCAGCACATTAAAAAAAGCCCACCCAAACAGACACAAAGTACCCAGCTGTGCCAGGTGACACCCCCACAGCCAAAGGGCCATGACTGGTCTCTGAGCAGTAGTCCATGCTGGGAAGGGTACCAGCAATCCCCCTGGAAAAGCACCACTCTGTAATCACCACAGGACTCTGCTACCTCAGCACTGAGACTCTTACACTGCTCTAGCTGAGCAGTGAATGGTGTGAGAAATGGCAGTACTTGGGGACAAGGGGAGAGGGTTCTTCATGTCACTGATAAATCTAGAACCAAAAATAACTCTGAAAGCCATATGAGTTCCCAAGTGAGAAAAGCAGCCTCATATGTCAAGAGTACTGTATCAAGAGACAGTAATTTTCAAGACCTAAAGGCACTGTGAGTTTCATCTGGAAGTCTGTTTTAATTTCTCTGTAAATAACATTCCTTAGCTTCACCTCCCAATGCAACAGGCATTATAAATAAACATGCATTAAGACAGTTAAGTAGAAATAATGGAAAACTGCAGAGTATACTGTTTCCAATGAGAAAAGGAATTAAACTCCTTATTGGACTGTCAGTTTTGTCAACAGTGTCACAACATAATCTAAATTTAAATATTAGTGGTATTTAAACATACATTTTTATTTGTGTTACATGCCATCAAAGCAATGTTTGATGGGGTGGGTTTTTCAAGCAAATGAAAAGCAAACCCATTGCACAACAGGGGGAATTTTTAAAAGCTCTTCCTCCAGACCAGTTCTAGTTAAAAACACTACCTCATTCTGTTGTGCTGAGGAATATATTTATAGTTTGAGCATCTTTCATCTTACCATTAGTGTATGGTATTTGTAAAATTCAGTTGATTTGACTAGAAGGAGAAAAAATATTCTCAGATTTGCAGAACTAGAGGCCCCTTAAACTGAAAGGGCTTGACTGAAGACTCCATGCAAACATCTGGCAAGGAGACTTATTCCTCCTGCCTTTTTGCTGATTGTAGTTGGGTGGGGAAACAACTACTTCCACATCTACAGGGAAATAGAGTATGGAACTGTGCTTCTCATGGGCTTGTAGCGTAAGTGCACTTAACTGGAAAACCTTCTTGTCTCTTATTTCCTCAAATCATAGAAATTGTGTCATAAGAAGTCAATTCACTTCCTCCTCATACCACCATGATACTGCATGTGCTTGTCCACTACAGTACAGTTAATAACTACAAGTGAAAAGTAGTTATTCAGTTGTCTTTATGAACCAATTCCCATTTTACAGATCAGTACAACTAAGGCACAAAGCAGTTCTGGTATTTCCTTGGCAGAACCAAGAACAACTGCTACACTTCCCCAATTCCTAGATGAAGACACTAGACTGTTTTAAACATTAAACACTAAAAAACACCTTGCAGGCAGCATAAACAGGAAGAAATTCACAGCTCAGAAAGGACATCCTCAGGATATAACATGAGCCACTTATGTAAAACTGCCTTCTGTGCCCTTTCCATCTAGAACTTACTCAAAGGCATGAGGCCAGTGCATGAGGTACAGGTCCAGGTAATCCAGTTTCATATCTCCAAGTGTTTTTCTCAGTGCTGGCTCTACATCTTCTGGGTGGTGCTTGGTATTCCAGAGCTTTGATGTTACAAACAGGTCCTCCCTTTTAATAACCTTCAAGAAAGGAAGAGCATAATGTACTGGAGCAAGTTCAGAAAGAGAATTGCAACAATCCCCCAATTAGTTTTAAAACAAAGAACAACTGAAGTTTTGTGGTTTGTTAGGTTGTTGTTTATTTTTTAAACAGGTAACACATGCAACCTACAAATTAAACCTTTCAAAAATATACTGGATGGAAAAGAGCCAGAGAAATGCACACAGTGGCCAGTCTAAAAGTATATCAAATACTTTAGCAATTGGAAGTTTTGAAAAACAAAAATATCCTTTCCACATATACACTCTTCCAAAACTTCCAATTCAAGGGTTAAAGCCTAAGTGTGATATGGCCAAAAGAAAGATTACTCAGCTTATTCATATGTAAATTTTGAAATTTCCATTTAACAATTCACATATTCCAAGCCCAACCAGCTAACTTACTTTACTCATCAGATTTATCACATGCTATAAACCAAGATTGCTTCTTGTGAAAAGAGCATGGGAAAATAATCAGAAGATTCCCCAAACCTCTGCATTTGAGTTTCTAGGCTGTGGAATGAACACAATAAGAACTGAGCCCTGTTACCCCAGTGTTGGAAGGGTAAGGACCAGAAAGAAAACAATGGACAACTGGTTAACTAGAAAGTGTAAAATACAAAAAGGAGAGCACATTGGGCAAACTGAAGCAGAGAATTCCATCAGAAAGGATGCTTCTCACTGTCTCATGTCTGACAAAACTTCACTCAAGTCCATTTTGAAGAATTTGGAATTATTAATTCCTTAGTTTCTCTCTTCCAGCCATTCAGTTATTTCTGTGTTTCACACAAGGATGTTGTGTTTAAAAGGAAGATATTTAAAATTCTTTTAAAAAGAACTTTGATTCAAATTCTAGTTCCAAGCTAGCTAGCTAATATGGACTGAACAAAATGTTTCCCTTTGTTATCACATCCAGCAGGGAGGAATCCCTGGGACAAGCTGAAAACAGCCTCTCTCAAGCACATCACATAACAAAGAGACTGCCCTAAAGCCATAGCAAGAGCAGCAGGAAAACAAGAACATGAAAACTTCCTTTCCAAGGGCTGTGAGACTGTACAGGTTATCCTTTTGGCCCCTTCAGGGAATAAATTTAAGATTACACCTCAGCTCATACATAGGAATGCCTGTCACATTACATTATACTAAGGCCTCAAACTCCCAGGTGCAGACTCTGGAGTCACATTTATGAACCTTTCACAGGCAATCACTGTTTTAAAAAAAATTAAAATTCACCACATTTATTCATTATTTTATCTACAACCAAAAAAACCCTACAGTTGATATTTAGCAATAACAATAAAACCTAAATTTGCTGTGGCTATCATCCATTGCATGCTAGACTGGAAAGTCAGGGTAACCTTTCATATAAATCATGACAAATATTTAACATTATAAATACTGACTCTGGGAACCCCAAAGTATCCAAACTGGGATACTTTGTGAGGGGAAAAGGAAAAAAACCACCACCCCCAAAGGCATTTTCTGTAGCTTACATCCAAATATCCCCAACAATCTTTCCTCTGCGAGACAGCCAGAAGGGTTCTAAGAGGAGAGAAAGCCCTCTTTCATGCCTTCTTCTGATAAATAGCAAATAGCTGGGGTAGACCAGCAGGAAAAGCCACAAATGTCAACTTCACAGGGGACAACTGTGAGTTGTGGCACAACACACAGTTAGCAGGGCAGTTCCTGTGTTTTTACCTTGTTGGGCCCAACACATTCCTGGAAGGCCTCCCCGATCTCGGCTTCGTTGCTGTAGGCGGCTGCGCAGTCGATGTGGCGATAGCCCACGCTGAGGGCATGTTTCACTGCCTCCTTCACCTGCAACCAGAAACACGCTGCCCATGCAGTCACTGAAAAGGGATATGGTGCTGGGGAAAAGTTAAAGAACGCTGAGAGACTTGGTGAGGAACACCCCCCAAAAAAACACAGAGCTGCATAAAGTCATGAGATTCAAACAGGAGGATCTGGAGTCTCTGTGGCACAGTCTTTAGGGGGGAAGAGCAAACTGCTCCAAGAGGAAACAAGAAAATGGATCATGCACACAGGGCCAGCATGCAAGAATGCACCAGACAGAAGAAATCCCTACTCTTCACTATAGTTGTTACACTTTTCTTAAATATAAAGTGAGCTATAAGAAGCAGTTTTCAAAGAAGTTATGGCTTAGGAAGACAACTTTTCTGACCTAAGTGACAAATCAACATCAGTCAAACCTGGAATATACTTCCTCTTGCTCAGTAGAGAAAGAGGAAGTAACTTCTAACTCCAGAATCACCACAGTTTGCATTTGGTTCAGCCACTCACAATTATCAAGATAATGCTCTTTTAGGGAACATTTTTCTTGTCTCATGATTGCACAACCATGAAAGTCATACTGCTGGGATACTCCTCATGATGCTCACAACTTTACATTTTGCTTTCAACATTGCTGACAATGAAGGTGTTGCCAACAGCTACACATCCCTTGCTCCATATTGTCACACAAAAGCCAGAATGTTTTTTGGAAATCAAGGCACTTAACTTCAAATCTGTATCTGCTTTTGAAAGCTCTAACGAAGCACAAGCACCAAACATTGTCACATGTGGGCATCAGATAAAAAGCAAGTCTAGAAACCAGAAGGAAACACAGAATGGCATCTTTGTGAGGGCTCAAGGAGCTTTTGAATAAAGATTTTCTATAAATGATTGTGCAAGAATGAATAATTACAACAGTGTAATCATCACCTCCCATCAGGCTGATGTCCATTTAGTAAAATCTGTTTCATTTAACTTCCAGTGGACAGTTAGCACACATTGTCTTACATCTGTCCTTCTGAAGTACTACAGAAAGAATAATATACCCCATCTGCACAGGGATTTCTGTACATTGCACCTCACTGACTTGTCTCTCAAGACTCTGGGAGACTATTACTCTGTGTACAAGGCTTGATGCAACAAAAGTTAAGTGAGATCACACCTGTCTTTCATAAGACTAAAAAATATGTCCACAAAGGCTAGAGAGAAATTGATTTCTTTCAACTTAATCGAAGTACCAGCATTTTCAAATTGAAGGCAGACAAAATTAGTAATACCAAGCAAAGGTGTGTACAGTCCTGTTTTCAGATGCTACAAAAAGGCAATGGGGAATCAAATGTCTCTCTCAGTAGATGTCTTTCCTACTGAATTTGTTTTTCTTGTCAAGAAGTGCAGTAAAAGCAGACACAGGATATTCTGACTACATTCTTCGGCATTTTGAGAGGAAAACTGGAGTGCAGCTCAGTTTCCCTTAGCCAGGATGACAAAGCACTTTTATCAGAGCAGTGAACTCTCCTTTTCTCTAGCAGGATGGCACTTACAGTCCTTGTTTCACCTGACAAAGACATTTCTCAGGTCACTATAAAATCAAGGGCAGGGTAATTCTGAAATCACTTGAGACATAGTAAAGGCTTTTAAGACTCAGTATCTGTCCTCCAAAAAGGTGGTATTTGTGGAGAGGCACAGTAAACAGCAGTGTTCTATATCTGGAATCCCCTGTTTCCTGTATCAGATTAATACTTTTTTTAATGAAACAAGCACAAAGTTTACCATAAGTGAAAGCAGGCACCACTCACAGAAAAACAGAGATAAAGCACTTCAAACATGTCTCTGCAAAGCAATCAACAAGAGGTTGTATTTTTTTATCAGCATGTTTTGAGAAATTTCTAGCACTGAAGAACTGGGACTGATAATTTAAATAAGGTTTGGATCTGAGGAAAAAAGTCTGTATTTGGGTAAGCTACTCCCAGCCTACTAACACATTCCAATGTGAACTGAGAGCTCGTGTTCCACACAAAAGGCAAACAATCAAGATGAAACATAAAAAAAAAAATGGCATTTTTGGAGGGGAAAAAATAATAACATAGATATAACTTTAAAAAAAAGTACTTTTTTTAACAGGAAGTTTTGTATTTTTGAGATTAACTTCAGAGAGGTAAATGCATTTAATGGTAGGGGACAGAGAGCAAAAACAAAACAGAAGCAGTTGAAGATTCATATGCCTGTGGGTATTTGTTGTTGTGAAGTAAAAATAGCCAAAGGACACTTCAAACTTTCCATATATTCTTTAGTTTAGCCTGTCAATACTGCTATGAAAGGAGCAATTGGTGAATTTACTTTGCATTAGGCAAGTTGAGTCACACAGCTCAAGTGTGACTCACCAATCCATCTCCACAGAAATAAAGTTAGGTCTTACTAAAAGTAGGTGTGAAAGGATATTGAGACATCTTCCAGTCTATCCTCAAGGCCCACAGCTGGGCAGAGTAAATCCAGACCACTCTTACACACATTTGTCATAGCCCTTCTTGTGACAGACAATCTATTCCAATGCTTTGAAATCTTTGTGCTCAAAGTCTTTTAGAGGACTCATAAAGATGGCCCTGATGGCATATCCCATTCCTCCCAGACATGAAATCCAGCACCTGCGCTTTTTGTGAGGGCTTTTTGCACATTTGCAAAGTGCCAGCACAGCTCCTCTCAAACCTCTCTTGACCACATAACTGCAGATGCTTCCCCCTTTCATCACAACTCATCTTTGCCAAACCTTGCATCAACTTGCTGCTGCCTCATCAGCTGTTTCCTCAAATGGTGTGCCCCAAAACAGACACAGGTATTGCAGCTGGAGCCTCACTCTCCTTCACTTTATAGCAAAGTCCAAGGAACTACACTCCCATTTAAACATCCCACCCACCCTCTTTTGAAGATGGATGAACACAGTATCAGTGGCAAATTCAGAAATACCATCTGTAAGTTCCCATTATTTATAATATCCATTACTAGATTTCCAGTTCTTCAATTTGCCTCTCACAAGGTTAAATAACTATAACAAGCCATCTTTATACTTCCAGGCAACACAGAGTTCAAGTGACCCAGGAGCCTCTCATGCACAGTCCCAAGCCATTATGAAGAGACTTCCATTCCTAACAGTTCAATACTACTGGGAAAGAAAAGCTTCTGACCAGCCACTGCTGCTTCCTGAAAAGTTGGCACATTTTAGCAGTTCTTTTGCTAACAGGAAGTAGGGAAAAAACAGATAATCAGTGCACGTGATGTTCAGATGCACTATGACCATAACCCAAGTGTTGCTATATCACAATTTCTAAATATTGCACTAAAATGTACTGAAAAGGAACTCACACCACCAGATAAGTAATGCCAAATTAAAAGGTGGTGTCCCCTAAAATAAAGGGGTTTGCCTCTTATCCTTCAAATGTTGAATTTAAGTCCCTTCCTTAACAGCAGTGAATTTTTTTTGTGCCCCTAACCAGGATTCCCTATATTGTCTAACAAACTTCAAGAACTAAACATTCTTCCCTGAAGCTGCAATCCTGTCACAAGACACCCTGTCTGACTGGTTTTCTGAGGTGCACTTCTCTTCAGCTTTTCCAAAGTTTCACACGGAAGTAAAAGCCCTGTGTCTCCCTGTCCCACAGAACCAGCCTCTGCCACTGCAGGTTAGGCTGCTCATCAGGTGAGGACCAATCCTCCAGGTTGAAAGCATGGCTCACTTGAGAGAAAAGAACAAAGCATTAAAGGATTACAGATAATCCAGCTGCAATATCAAAAAGCCACAGTACTGATACACCTGATGCTCCTGTCTGAATGGATTACTCTTTGAACTCATTCATGCTCACAAAGTTCCATTCAACAGCCCTCTGTCATATATTCCTATGGAAACATGGAAAACAAATTTCTCTTCTAGCATTTGATCATGTAAAACACAAAACATTCTATTATTTTGTACGGTATCAATCCCATAACATCCTATAGTCTTTCATCATGGAATTGGATTCAATTATTTTCCCTCTATTAGTATCTAGGAAACTCGGGCTGCAATAACACCTTTGTACTGGACTGCTAAGTTCTGTCTACAAGGTCAACACTTGTTTACAATCAGGAACAGTAACAGCAGTAATAAAGAAATTACTCAAATTTGGCAAGGGAAAGAATTACAATCTGCAAAATATTTACCCAAAATAATTTAAAAGCCATCAATTTCCACACTTGCTTCTAATGCACCCCTTGAACAAAAGAGCTTTTGATAAATAGCCTCTACTTGGGAAACAGCTAAATCAAATTTAATCAATGCTAATTCTTCTGCTGCTCTGGGGTTTTGGCCCCTAGTCTTTAATTCACAATAGCAGTTATTATCCCTGAACTACATCATATCCATTTGAGGGTAAATCATCTGGACACTGCCAAATTGCTGCTATGCCCCCAAATTTTCAAAAGTGATAAGCAGAAATTCATTCATTCCGTAAGAATACCAGCAACTTCTGTAACTCTGGCCCTTTACACTGCACTTCCTAGATTTTGCCTTCAATATATTCTACAAGGAAGTCTTTGAAGACAGCAGATATTCCAAAGAAGTGACTCCAAATGACTTCCAAGGAAACCCAGAAAAGATGGCTGGATCCTGTGTGGGATTCAGCTGCCAACAGCACTGCTGATTATGGCAAAATCCAACTGAATTAGGTTTAAATTATGCACAAACAGGATCTGTCCCAGTTCCTTTCTAAGGCCACACGTTTCTCAGAACAATTAGTTAACAGAATAAACAACACATTCATTTTTTGTTTGTTTAGTTTCAGACATTTGCTTTAGACAAAGCATATTTAATTGCTTTGACTGCACAGAAATTCATCCATTAAGTTTGTGCATGTTAACAAACTTAATTCAGCTGTCATTTGATATTTTAAGCGGCAAAGCTGCACATTCACCCTCTTCCTCATTTAAGAGGTTGACTGAGCTCTCACACCAACTCAGCTTCCACGTTAGTACAACTTCTATTTCCAACAGATCCACTGTCCTGACAGTTGTTTGGACAGAAAGACCCACAGTAAAATGGCTCTGAATAGATTTAATTTTCACAGCTTGTTTCCCACGTTTTCCTCTAGCTGGCACGAGAGAATAGCATGCTTTGAGAAGAGTTCTAACTTTCCCTCTAAGTCATGAGCACAATGTCATCCACAATACTCCAAAACACATCATAAAGCTCACACAAGACTAGCAGTGAGACATCCATTTACTGCACATGCAGTGGTGTGCATAATCCAGAGAAGCTGTGGATGTCCTATCCCTGGAAATGTTCAAGACCAGGGTGGATTGACCTCTGAGAAATGTCGTCTAGTGGAAGGGTGTAATTGGAACTAGATGGTCTTTAAGGTCTCTTCCAACACAAACCATTCTGTGATTCCACAATTCTTTGAATATCACCTAGGAACTCCACCAAGCAGTGCACATTACATTTCAGAGGAAGTACATACAATTACTTCCCCCAAAAATGTATCTTTTAACTAAATGAAAGAGATACAAACAGACAGACAAAAGGGAGAAGCATTACAATATCAGGCGCACAAGGGAGCACACAAACCTTCCCACAGACTGTTTGTAGTAACACACAGAATTGTTTCCAAGTGTGGTGTTTGCCAATTCACTGCATTCAGAAGCAGAGTGAATGTCTAATGATACATGAGTCGTTTTATTCTAAAAGCAGACTGACCCAAGCAAGTTCTTTGTTTTCCTGCTAACCATTGGCTGGTTGCTGGAACAGGACTTATTACAAGAACTCAAGTTTCTGTCTCCCAAAATAATGCTTTCTGCTGAGTCATCAGGCAAAGCCAGAGGGGTGTCTGGTCAGACTGGCAGCCGGAGGACTTGGCAGTGGAAGAGTCTGGCACCATATTATAGAAACACCATTCACTGGTCTTCTTCTGGGTTTATGTCCCAAAGCACCACTGCTGGAGGCCAGGGTTAACAAGTCTGAAGGGATCTTCCTTTCTGGAAGGATCTGCTGTCTTTGTGCCTTAAGGCCTTAGACATGCAAATACACACATACATCCATTCAACTTCAGTGGACTCAAGACTAGAACAGCTCAAGCAAAGGATCGAGGCCTCACATCTGGGACCTTCAAAAAAAGTGCACAAACACACATACTAGTTGACAGCACAATATCTTGTTGTTCCCTGCTTACTTGGCCACGGTCACTTTTCCAAGTTCCCAGTCCCACGAGAGGCATCTTCTGCACAGTGTGGAGTGTAACAAAGTCACATGTCACAGGCATTTTTGCCTAGAGAATAAAAAGAACAAAGAGTTTTGCAGCAATTCTTTAAGTTGCAACAATTTACCTTTCCTACTCACAATAGCAAAGTTTTTTCATCAACAAAGGAAGGGCTTACAGCATGTCCCAACATCCTCACAACCTATGTTTCTGCTCAAACAGGTTAAAAGAAACTGCATTCAGGATGAGCTCCGAAGCTGGCTAGCTGATTTAGTTACTTCCCAAGATCTGATACATCCAAATCATTGATGCTATTTGTTAAAAAAAAAAACAACAAAAATAATCAAGAGTGGAAGAATGCAATGTTAGTTGACTATCTGACAATGTAGGAGGAACGGATGTTTTCAGAGTTCAGCATCCACATAACATACTATCCCAAAATAGGTCTGCCTTCTCAGTGTTGTAATTTTCCTCACATAATTAGGTCCCAGCTCACGGATGTGTTCACACCAAGTCTATGTTTTCAATTTCTTGCTTTGCTTCTCAAGCCAAACTTTTGTAGATTTAACAGCAGACACCAAACAACACACTTGTTTTTCAGAGGGACATACAAAAGCAGTTGGAGTGATCCTGACCTGAAGGCCCTTGTACACAAAGCAGATGGGGATCCCTGTAACAGTTAACCTGAGTAGGCTCAGGCTTCTCTTGTGCTGTGGGATGCACAAGCTGCAGGATCAGCTCAGCAGTGACCTGTAACAGGAGTCTGCAGGTAGGTCTCACTTTGTACCTGCAGTTATGCCACCTATGTGTCCTTTCCATTATATAAAAAAGCAGGAAGTTCTCCTGCAAGCATACTTTCTGTTTGGCAGTGGAAGTGATGAATAGAGGTGCTTTCTTGTAAAAGAGTCCCTAGCAGTTCAAATGACCAAAACAGGGTAACCCCTGCTATGGACAGGGTCTGCACAAGCTGGGACTCCCAGCACCTGAAGAGATGCACAATTATCAACAGTCTCCTCTTTCTTTAAAGGGTTAGCTCTAAAAAACATCATTTGAGATGATACCTTAGAGTGTGAGTGCCTTTCTTATCAGGATTGCAATGGGCTAGCACCTCCTGGTGCAAGACAATCATTACACTCAACTAATAGTCCTGGATTTGCACAAAGTCCAGCTATTGGTGCTGAAGACAATCACTGGTGAACCAAACTGCAGGTGTACATCTGTTTTATTGGGGTAGGAGGTCAGAGAAGGCAGGATGATGGTGCCAACAGTATTCTCTTCTACTCCAAGCTTGCACAGCCATTTTGCAGCCAGCTACATGCAAGTGGGTGCCGTTACTGAATTTAGTTGCCTAAATCTTCTTTAGAAGGACATCTTGCATCATGCAACACAACTAAAAACTTAAGGTTTTTTGATTCACTTTGGCCTATAATACAAATAAGATACTAACTGCATGATTTACACAACCATGTTATGCAATCATCTTAAAGGTAAGAGTGCAGCCCAGAAGACAAGGTACACATTTAATCAATAACTAGCATCAGCACATTTTTAAGAACCATCTTGCTTCATATAACTTTGCATATTAATACTGCAGAGAGATAGCCTCTGGAAGAATGGAATACATCAGAATGACAGACACTGGAAAAAAACGTTAATTAATACTTTCCACTCAAATTCTTCCCTAAAACAGAGGATTTAGGAGAATCACATTTACGATGCTAGCCATAATTATTCAGTTCATAGAAGAGCTGGAAGCCTCTTCTTGGAAGTACAGACATAAAAACAAACATAAAAGCAAGCTAATAAACAAACATAAAAGCAAGCTAATTCTGGACAAGTAAGATATGGTTATGGCTTAACATCACCAACCTACTACCACATTCACATAAAGGAATTAAAGCTCAGAGTAATTCAAAGACGGTGTAAGGCTGGGAGGATGCAGCAATAGCCAGAGTAATGCAAACTACCTCGGTTCATCAATCTACAGCTACAGCTCATTTTTAACCTAAAGCAAGGAGTCTTCCAGGAATAAAACAACTATAGTTATGCATACCATTAATACGTATAGCTATGCAAATAGGCACGTATTGGCAATACTCAAGTCGCTGTAACTGAACAGTTTCTGCCACACGGCCCAGGGACAGTAACCATTCTACATTTTGGCTCCTCCGGAGGCGCCGAGTGCGCCCACCTGCCCCTTATCGGGGCAGCGCAGGGCGGGCCCGCGGGGGCGGCGGAGGGGCGATAAGGCGGGCCCGCAGCCCCACACAGCTCCTACACTCACCGCCGCTACCGACTGCTGCCGCTGCCGTCACTGGGGCTGCTCCTGCTTCCCGGGGCTGCTCCCGTCACTGAGGCACCGCTGCTGCTGCTGCCCGGCCCTTCCGCTTCCGCCGGGAGCGCGCCGCGGGCCGGGGCAGCGCGGGTGCCCGACGGGTTCAAATGTGAAAGTCCAGCAGTGAGGGTTCAGCGGGGCTGAGCTGCCCTCACGGCTCTGCCCCCGGCAGCGCTCCCCGGAACTCATCGGGCTCCCCGGCACCGATCCTCTGTTACTCATCGGGCTCCCTCACCGCGTTTGCCCCGCTGATCTTTCGTGCCGTCCCGGCCCGGTTCCCGTCGGGAAGCTCAGGCAGCCCAGCCTGGCCGCTCCCGCCGAGCGGTGAAGTGATAAATGCCATGGGATGCACCACACATGGGGGAAAGCGACAAAAGACCCCGGCCCGTCAATTCCACAAGAAGCGTTTGCATCTCCCCGACTGCTGTTTGTCGTGGCCTCTCGAAGCCGTTTCTACTAGTAGGAAGACCGAATATACCCAGTTTTATTTGTAGCCCTAAATAACAGGAATCCAGGGAAAGTGAAAGGCCGATTGCAGTCTTTTTTTGCTTCAGCTTTTGCGCTCTGAGGTGCATAAAAAAGTGGCACTTTCCGAGAATGCTGGGGCTCCTCTCCTTGCAGATGGCCAGGAATTAATTTCCTTGTTTGCTCGAGGTCGCAGTGAGATTAAAGCAGGCTCATTCCGTTGAGTGCTTTCACTGCTGGGCAGGGACAGCCCTGCTGCTGGTAAGTCAAAGCCTTCTGCTGGAGCAGACTTTGGCCTGGAATCGAGAATCAACTGTGCACCCAATCTTAAACACAACTAAAAACAGATAATCGGTTTTGACTTTTACTCCAGGCTTCCATCTTTACAAGCAGTTTATAAACATTCAGAACTTAGAGTAAGATTAGATGAGAAATAAGGCAATAGATACCTCTGGTGGGACTTTGAAGAGCCTGTTACTTATTTCCAGAAAGATAAATCTGCTGCAATCTCTCTTTGCTGTTCTGACTTGAACTGCTCAGGAGGTTTAAAGGCACAAAGGTCAATTAATCTCTTGGGCATGCACCAGATTTTTCTGTTGCACAGCCTATTTTGACAAAATAAAGTGGAAAAAAAGTGCAAGGACAGGACAACAATTATAAGTAACAGGAAGCAGGAAATGAAAGAATAAAGGGGGAGGAATCACTGCTGAGTTTGATTTATTTTTATAAAGACCCTGCCAATCACAAATCCATTTGAAAATCCACAATCTTCAAGCAAAAGAAGATTCTTGAATTATAAAGCTCACATAGGAAAACTTTAACAAACCTCAGCCTCCAGTAATGTAATAGGGAGTAAAAGAGAAAAAGTAAGGAAGACAAAAACATTTTGTTATCAAAAGGCAATGGTTATCCAAACATACAGTAATAGCTTGCTAATTAATAAATATATATATATGCAGAGAAGAGGTAATATAAGGCTATTGACCTAGGAATACAGTCCTCATCTTCACTTGATTCAAAAAAGGAAAGTTAATATGTGCATTGTATATTTAATGACATGCAGTTGTTTTCATTAAAATGATTGTGCACCAGCTGTTTGTGCATAAATGCCGCAAGGAACTTGTCAGTTGTTGACTGTCAGCTGACTTTCTGCATACATTAAATTAAATTGTCCCCACATGACCAGGATTTGACTCTGACTGTGCCTCTGGTGGTACCATGTGTTTGTAGGAGGTTTGGTGTATTCAGAACTCAGTGGGCTTTTGGCACGTGTAGTGATGAACTCCACAGGGAATGTGTGGGGGTGTCCCAAGGCTTTTGAGGGTATGCAGGGACCCTGTGCTCCAGAGGCGTGCCAGTGTTGCCAAATCCATTACTATTCCAACTAAGTTTATCTTACTCTGGAAATCTTTGATACTCTTACACAAAACCATTCTCAAATGCATGGAAACCCAAATGTGTGGTAATATTCTGAAACAGGTCCACTTTCTTTGCCTTTCTTTTTACACACAGCAGGGTATTGGGTTTTCACATCAGGGGCCCATTCCCAACCAAGATATATGGGAGATACTGTAATCAAAATGATGGATGTGAAAGCTAGCTTGGCTCCCAGTTTGGGTAGTTACAGTGTTCTGGCACTGCAGGGCCTGCCAGCTCCTCTTTGTTGATGGAAGAAGTACTTATTGTGTCCCTGTCTGTGTGGATGGATGCAGAGAGGCCTGAGCTCTGATGCTCCATGCTAATCAGGTACAAGCTGATCCTGTCTGGCAGCTATTTTAGCAGAACATGACATGCTGCTGTGTAGAGAAGCAAGGTGGGGAGAGAACTCCATCCTTACACCACCTGTGGGGGTAGACATGCCCTTTCTTTCCATAGAAAACATAATTGTTTTAATCTAAGTACCATCTTGCATCTAAAGATTGAGAAAGGCTACAGAAACCCAGGTGCTCACTGAACAAGGAGTGGCCCTGACAACTTACTATTCCAAAACCTCCAAAACCTGATGTCCGGAAAGACAAGCTCAGAAATTAATCAAAAGTAATGAGGCCATGGACATATGAATGGAAAGGCAATGCTTACAGCACAAACCTGGAGCAACCTGCAGACCATACTGGGTATATTGTGCATCTGAAAGTATGAGAAATTAGAATAACAACCATTAAAAGAGTCAGAAACCATGAGAAAGTAATTATTGCTTTGTCCGTTGTTAAACATGCCAGAATTGCAGTGGGACTACATTGTTCTGGAGGTTTTGCTTAGGACTGTCTGACCTTTCAGGGGTTAAGCTGTTCACAGGTTCATTGACCTGAGGTGATGGGGAGCTACACACCTGTCTCAATACAGAGACCTCAATTCTCATGACAACACTGATGTTAAGAAAGTAGCAAATTTTTTCCTGTAAAAGATTAAGTGTGCTATAGCAATAGAAATAGAAGTAGATAAATTAGTTGCATGAAAGTGAGTGCAGTTTTTTTCTTGAGTACATATATGCATGTTATTTTCTTTCATTATTTAAGGATTAATTTAATCTGATCCCAAAATGGGTCATCTCTGGGTGAACCAGAGCCATAGCAACACTATGCAGTGATCTTGATTATAAACGTTTAAAGTTTGTTAATCCTTTGGGATTTTCTTCTCATTACAATTTATAATCAAGTTTTAACAGGTATAAGAAACACAACTGTAAACTGAAAAACAGATGAGTAAAAATCAGTTGGTGAACACATGTATCACTTTCAACAGAAGCATTTTTTTTCCTTGATATGGCTTAATGACTTTTAGTATTCATTATTTAATAAAGCTTTCACATTTAAATTCAGAATTTGGCCCTTAAAAAGTACCACACTGCTTGTTCACTCTTGGATTCAAAGAAAGTGCTTATGAGGAATCACTGCGGTTAAACGTTCCCCAGAGCAGCTTCACTACTGAATGATGCAAAATTCCCTGAAGTAACTATCTTCCAAGAGCTTGGATCCTTCCACTGAAGTTCAACAATTAGACTTTAAACTTCGTTTTCATCTTTCTTTTGCTGACTTGCTTGACTTGGATCGGTGCTCCCACTGATGGAGAATAATCAGTGAAAGCCTTGGGAATGAGTAACAGGGAGAGGGGGCAGTGGGTAGTGCAGAGCGAGAGGATGGAGATTTGACACCGCACCTCTGTAACACTGCGAACACACATTGCTCTGTTCAGAGGTTTCGTTTGACTTCTGTCAATGGCCAACACTTAATTCTCTTGAATGGCATGCCAGTCATCCCTGGCTCTCCCTCAAAGTCCTGCGTACCCTCTGAGGACTTCAAATAACCACAGCTCGGCTAATTAAGGCACTAAAAACGCAACGGCTTCTTGCACCAAGCCCATCAATCGTTTATAACCGAGGCACTGGGTATTTCCACGGCACCTGCCGGGACTGTCTCCAGAGCACGACGCGCGCTCCCCCGCGCTCCGGCGGCCCCGGATCTGCCAAGTCATGCTGCCCTTGCAGGCGCTGCCGCCCTGCCCTCCCCGCCGCGTCCGCTCGCGAGATCCGCGCTGCTATAAAGGGGGCGGCGCGGCGCGGCTGGCGCAGAGCGGGTCGCGATTGTGCTGCTGCGGCGTCTGCGGGATCGGCTCGGCGCTCCGAGTGAGTGTGCGGGGCCGCGGGGGTCGCTGAGGGGCTTTGCACAGTGCTTCTTTTTTATTATTTTATTTTTTTAAAATTTATTTTATTTTTATGTGGTTTTTTGGTACTGTTTTGGGTGGGTTTTTTTGTTCGTTTCCCCTCCCCCTCTGCGCGTATACGCCCTTGAGCGAGCCGCGTAGGGCGAGCCCTTTCTTCCCTCTCCCGAAGGATCGCGCCGCCCGCACCCCGTGTTCAGTTTTCCCTAGTTTTGGTTTGGGATTTTTTTTTATTTTTTTGGCGGGCATAGCGGGCAGATAAGTCCCTCCAGCGCTCCGGCCTTTATCAGCGCTGCGGGGGAGGAGCCGCGGGGAGCGCCCGCGGGGGGAGCGCGCTGAGCGCCTGCGGGAGCCGAGCGGCCCCTGCCCCCGACAAGCGAGGCGGGAGCTGGCTTCTAAGCCTTAAGGAAACCCCAAACCCGAGCGCTGGATGCGGCTGGGGGACATGCAGGCGACGGGTTCCCGTGTCCCAGAGAGGTGTAGCGGCGGGCTGGGCGGGGGAAAGGCTCGGAGGTCGCCTCGGAGCCCCTTGGGCACCACGCGAGCCGCGGTCCGTGCGCGATGCCCGCGGCTCGGTATCGCACCCCGACAGCGGCTGCGGTGGCCTGACCGCATTTTTGTGACAGTCCGAAGGTGGCGGAGTGGGAGGCTGATGGTTTTGAAACGGCCTTTCGCTTTTGTTCAGGACACCCTAAAGGTATGAAATCGCTCGTTCAAGAGAGCAGGCCTGGCTTATTATAATTGCAGTTTGAAGATAATTGAGGCTGTCTGCGGCTATGAGCAACAAAGATACTCTGGCCG